GTAAGCATAGCTACGTGTAGTGAGCATGTGTGTCGATTGTTTGATGGTGCAGTGAGCGCACCTATTTGTGAATTGAAATGAAATGTTAAAAAAAATGTTATTTGTGTTTGTTAATACTTGATTTGGTCTATGTGAGAAAATGTGTGAATTGTGCAAGGTGAGTCTCTATGATTGTGTGTGATAATGTAGAGTATTCACCCTTACATTTATTTTTCAGGTGACCAAGACTATCAGTACCTGACTTAATGAAGGGATGAATGACACTACTATATGATTTAGAATATTTATTTTGAAAATATGATGTATTTATATTGGTTCTGTAGCAGTCATTTGATATAAATTGTAATTCATTCTTATTTTGAAACTTTTTATTGAACTATGTATTGGGAATTGTTTAAATAAAAAAATTTATTATTCCCAAATTTGCAAAATTTATTTATTGAAAAATTAAATTAAAGTGTTACATTAAGCATAATAATTAATTAATTTTGGTTTGTAATAAAAAAAACTCACGAAGAAATTGTTTTTTATAAATGCATCTACTTTTCATAGTAGAGCTTGTTAATATGGTTTGAATCACTTCCTAAAACAATGCAAAATCACTCTTTAATGTCTTTTTTTGTCATAGTGAGATAAGTTTCAATTTTCTCCAACTTGTTTTTTTTTTTTTTGTTTATTTTAATCCTCAAACTTGTAAAAATGTTTCAAATAGGTTATTTTTTGTTAAAATAATAATCCCATTAAAAGATTTTATCATTTTCTACTAGGTGCAGTGTAAGTATTTTTCATCGTCTTCCTTATATCTTTGATTTACATCTCCTCTACCTCTTCCTCTTTTTCTTCTCTTTCATCTTCATTAGGTTGAGGTGCAAGAATTATCTTTTTATACTCCCTTAAAGGTAGGTCAACTCTACTAAAGGAGACATTTGATGGCTGTCACTAGAAACCAATGAAATCATTTTAGATGCAATTCAAAATATGAAGGAAAAAAGAGAAAAAGCAAAACTTATGAAAACACTTGTCGAGTTTTTATCCCGCATCTATTCACAAATATATATATATATATATATATATATATATATATATGATTTACTTATTCCTAAATCAAGTTTCACAAGTTAGAGTAAATGTATAGGAGAAATAATATTGGTAAAGAAAATACAAAAAAAGTGTATAATATGCGATATTAGAGTTCTAGAAAGGTCTACATAAAGAGGAAAGACAATGAATAAATTAAATCAACTATCCAAAATATATATCTAGTAATCTCAAATAAATACAATACCTAATTGAAAAAATATAAAATTGAAAACATATACATGAATTGCAATACATATCAATATTCAAAATACACTCACAAATAATTCTTTTGTGGAACTGAATCTTCTTTAGTCTTTTGATATTAAGGATATTAAATCGTCTTTGAATCTCAAAAAATTGAACATTTACAAATCAACACAGAAAAAAAAAGATGACAAAAGAAAGATGAAGAAGAAAGAAAAAGTGAAAAAGGCGAAGAGAAGTGAATTGAAATTTGAAAATATAAGAAAAGTAAGATGATTAACAGTATTCTCACTGCATATGTAACAAAAAATGACAAAAATTTTAACAGAGTTAGCATTTTAATGAAAAAAGGAGCTATTTAAAATATTTTTATATGTTAAAGGACTAAAATTAACACATAAAAAAGTTAGACGACAAAATCAAAATTTATCTTAAGTTTGAAGACAAAAATACTAATTTAGCTATTTTTAAAAAATTTATCGTTTAATATAATTTTATTATGTTTATAATTATTTACAAAAATATATCCTTTTATTCTTTAATTATTAATTAAATTATATGTATATTTATTTTAAAATAAAATATCAGTATATTAGAAAGGTTACTAAACTAGTAATATATAAAGCTAAAGAACTCCTCATAATATTCTCAATAAATTTAGGTTATAAAAAAATAAATTAACTAAGATGATAGCAATAGTAGCTCAAATATGAAATTGGAAGAAGGGGTGAGAAACTGTCATCTTTTAAGTGCAAATACATGTAGCAGCAATACGAATTATTTTCCATAACAATACAAAATGACATTATTTGTAATTTGTTTGGTTCATACAATTTTCATTGGTATATAATTATTTAAATTATTGTAGAATCAGAACACTTCGTAAATATTTGACTCCCTGAATAAAGCTATTTTTACTTTTCCTTGAACATTGGTTGTCTTTAGAATTCTGCAAGCGTATACACACTGAAATCTTTCCAACAGAAAATGGAATGGTTTGCTTTGCAAAAATGTTTACTTATGGAAGAATGAAATTAAAAAAATGCGTTCAACTATTAAAACTAAATTTATAATTTGACCAGAGAAAAACTTGCTTTTTGTCAACATTTCTTTTTTTTTTTTTCCAAATCTACATTCGTCACTCACTACCATAGTTTTAGTTTGGACCTTGCTTCTTGACCCAAAAAAAAAAAAACGTCTGCCGTCACTAATGGGTGATTGAACTTTCAACTGGGCTTGGGTGAGTGTACTCAGAGACCCCAAGTTCAATTTGCTTTTTTACTCAAAATTTGACAACAAAAAAATGTAACCTATTTTAGTTTAAGTAAATATAAATATGTGATTATTAATATAATATTATATATTATAACAGTTTGATTAAGATTCTCTAACTTCAGAATTAGTCTGAGGATTTATTTACTTTACAACTAAAAAATTATTTTTCATATTTTTTAAATAAAAACATATAATTTAGATTAATTTATATATGTTTCTTAATTATAAAATTAATACTCAACTTTAAAATAAATAAACACAATCTATGTTGCATACATCAAAAGCTATTACTATTTAAACATTAAATTTACACTCATTTAATCACAAATTTCATGTAATATAACATTTTACTTCAGAAAAAATCATTGATGTTGTAATGAGCTTTCAACTAATTTAGTTTCAAATTAAATTTTTGATCAATAATCCTTCAAGTGGAATTTTCATTGGCACGTATCCATTTACAATTTCTATTTCCAGGTAAGTGGAAAAATATATTCTAAAGCCTTTACACATCAATTATATTAGCAACATCCATATCCTTAGTTAATTACCTTTCTAAGTATGTACCTGAAAATATATAAAAATTATGTAAGTTACAGTTTTCTAACACTATTAATAATTTAATATAAAAAATAATTTTTATTTATTAAATTATCAAATTATAAGTATATATTATTTTAATTATTGTATTAAATTTTGTCAAAATTAAATATTTATAAGAGTATAATTTAAATATTTTTATTTTTTATATTTTAAAAGTATATATTACATTAATTTTGACAAATGAGAATTAAGTATGAAATGATGTTGAATTGATTTAAAATTTTGCACATAAAATGTATTTGATTAAAAATTTTAATATAATGGTTAGTTTTATAAATAAATCATCTAATAAAAATTTATTAAAAAATATAAAATAATATAATTTACGCTATTATAATTGATTCTTCTCTGTATATATATTGTCAAGAGTTTAATTTATATATTACAAATATAAAAAATTATACTATCAATCAAGTTAATATAATATCGTATGTGTGAAGGTTAAAAAACTTACATATAACTTCTAAAATTATATTGTTATAAAAATTTATTTTAGATATTATAGTAATCTATTATTTTCATATATATTTTTTATACTATCAGTATATTTTATTTTTATATTTTATTAATATAATTGAATTAAGTCCTAATGTCAAACTTCTCTCCAGCGCCATGAGATCTCACTTCCCAAGAAATATTTTTCACGGTGAAAATTCTGAAGTCCTATTTTCTTAACTTCCTATAGCAGCCGCATACATATGATGTGACGAAATGAGATTTGATGGCAAAAAAAAGAAAAACCCAGGAAGGGTGCACCTTAATACCTAAGCAAAAGTCATTCATTTTTGCAACATGATCCGACACATTTTCAGTATATTCCATATACTTGATAATTCATTTCCCACATCTTTTAACAAACTATATGTGCTTTCTTTTCTTTGTTCGAATCTCTTCTCTTTGGATAAACAATATAACATTGAGGCAATCATTTATTATCCACTAGAAACACACTTAGTAAACAGTACTTTACTAAGGGGTCCCTGCCCCTCCCTCTAACTATATAACCCAACATATATCTACCATATTCCATGTATGAGTTTGACTCGTGCCCATGTTGTGGCGCGTGAGTTGCAAAGATAAATGTTTCCATGCAAAAAGAAAGAGGAGTGGGGAAGGGAACAGACCTGACCAAGAAAAGGTTCACTCGGTCGGGACACACTAAAGCACAAATAGACACCTTTTTTTAATTTTCAATCCAATGTAAAAATAAATAAATAACATATGAACAACATTCTTTACCATAATCTATCATTCTTTCACCAATAAATTAATGTCATATTTTAGAATAGAATATCATAATTAAAGTTAGCGTTGGCCATATTCTACACCAAATTGCTAGCATGTATAGTTAGGCTGGTCAGCATACATTCCCTTTCTCTCTATTGAAACATGACATATCGGACTCAATACTTAGCTTTTTTCATGCAGAAGGAGGCAAGAGAGAGGCACTAACAATATCTCTTTATTCTAAGCAGTACTTACAGAGCATCAAAAAGAAGCTTATGGGTTAAGAAACATCGCCTTCTCAAAATCCTAGAAAGCAATAAAACAAAAAGTGCTATTGGGGGGAAATGAACAAGAAACTAAAATTATATATAAATACTCAAAAGCATCTCCTTTATTTTTGCCTCTCATTACTTGATCCTCTCCCAAACCCTTCCCCTCTCTTCTTTCTTTCTTGCTTTCTTTCTTTTTCTCTTTCTCTCCTCTATTGTTCAGTTCAACCACATACGCACACACTCTCTCTCTCTAACTCTTTGATGTGATTCAGTTCACTATTACCTCCCAAAATATTAAGCCCACCAACCTTTACAAAAGAGAAAGCTCCAAGAGGAACCATGGTTTATACTTCCATCCCAGCATATATTGATCAAGCCAACTGGCAGCAACAGGTAAATAATTAAAGGGTTCTTCAATTTGTTCTTTCTCATTTAATTTCTTTGTCCAAAAGGCAAAATTTCAAAAGAAAAATATTCTCCTACACTTTTGTTTATACCCTTCTCCTGAATATACCACATATTTGATTTGCTTGCTCCTCCACCTTTATGTTACTGCAGCAGCCAAATCATCAACCAGGAAACAACAACACTGGTTCCAGTTCCCATCTTATTCTTCCACCACCACCACAACAACCGCCGCCATCGCTACCGCCATCGCACCTGCATGGACCCAGTGGCACTACCACTGGATCCATCAGGCCAGGTTCCATGGCGGATAGGGCCAGGATAGCCAACATACCCATGCAAGAAGCTCAACAAAAGTGTCCAAGATGTGATTCCACCAACACAAAGTTTTGCTACTTCAACAACTACAGTCTCTCTCAGCCCCGCCACTTCTGCAAGACTTGCAGAAGGTACTGGACACGTGGCGGAGCCTTAAGGAACGTTCCGGTTGGTGGCGGCTGCCGAAGGAACAAGAGGAGCAAGGGAAGCACCTCTGGCAGTGCCAAGTCGCCGGCAAACTCCGATCGCCAAACTGCTAGTGCTGGTTCTGCCTCTACAACCAGTGGTTCTTCTTCTGCTGACATGGTGGTAGGTCTTGGCCCTCCAGTGCCTTCTTCTCTTAGATTCATGGCTCCATTGCATCAACTCAGCGATCACCACCTTGGTGGAGAAATAGGCTTAAACTATGGCTTGAACTATGGTGCGATTTCGGGTCCAATGGGAGGAGTAGGAGACTTGAATTTCCATATAGGAAGTACTTTGAATAGTGGTGGTTCTGTGTTATCTGGTTTGGACCAATGGAGGGTGCCACAAACACACCAATTTCCCTTCTTGTCTGGTTTGGAAGCTTCTTCATCGCATGGGTTGTACCCATTTGAAAGTGGTAATAATGATGGTTTTGGTGGTGCTCCTAAGGTTTCAACTTCTGGGGTGATGTCTCAGCTTGCTTCTGTGAAAATGGAAGAGAATCAGCAACTTGGTTTCCCTAGACAGTTCTTGGGTATGAATAGTAATAACCCTAATACAAGTGAGCAATATTGGAGTGGTGGTGGTGGTGCCACTGCAGCTTGGACGGATCTTTCTGCCTTTACCTCTTCTTCCACTACTAGTAACCCACTATAAAATTTTCTACTCTCTTGTGAAGTTGCTGGTTTTTGGTTCTTCTGTTTTCCTTTCACAAAGTTTCAACCAACTCGGTTATTATTAGCCCCACGTGAAGAGCTTCGAGGACGGTTGAGTACTTTGCTTTCTTTTAAGATCAAATGAAAACCCTAGGGATGTTAGTTTTTTTTTTTTTTTTTCTTTTGTTTTCCCCCCTCTTAATAGTTATATGTTCTTATTTCTTCTCCTTTTTCTTTATTTAATTTCCTTCTAATCGGTTTAGGTTGCTTTGTATGAGAAGGTTTACTATAGTGAAATTATGAGTTTAACAATGATTTCTTCTCATTGGCTACCACTTGCCATATATCAATGAAAAATTTTCTTTTTCTTCATTTGGTGAAGAATGAAGGGTGTTGAATTTAGCTAAGGTTTTATTTCTACACAATTAATGATTTGGAGTATAATGTGCTGCAGCGATAATAGCAAACTAAAATTTGATCCCCAAATTGTAGATTCTGAGTGATTGATACGAGTGCGTTTTATTTGAATCAAATTATGTGGCCCGTCGTTTTAATCAAAATCATGAATCATTTGGTTACATATATAGTTAAATGAACTTATTGGTTCCGTTCTTTTAGAGATTCTGGAATTTTCATGTGAAATAATAGTAAAGCAAGAGTGGTGGTCAAACAAAGATTAATAAACATAGGTTGTCTTTCTTATTGATACATTCCTCATATATGTTTTGTAGTGAAAAAGTGAGAATTTCTTCCGTTAAAAATTATATTTTCTGTTATTTTTTCCTTTTAGAAAGTTCTTGTAACGACTACAGCAACTTTTCCTTGATGTTAATACCATTGTGCCGTTTAATATATTTCTCTAAAAAGATTTATCTTGCAACTTAGTGTGGTTATTTTATTCGTGATTTAAAATCACCTTTCTCTCTTTTTATGTTTTGTTTAATCTTTTAGCTCTTAAAACACTTTTCTCATCATACAAGCTTATAGCAAGTTCGAAAAAGCATTTATTTTGTTTTTCTGACTATGGACAATGTTTACTTTCTCGTTATAAGAAGCTACAATACATATATTCTTAGAACCCATTGCCAAAACCAATAAATGAAAATAAAGAAAGATTCTTAAACCAACACAAAGTAAGTCACTTACTTTGTTGACTAATTTAAATTTGGCATGCATATAATTAACAAATTGCATGTATAATTTCTTTAGCATATTTGGAGTGTGAACGAAGGATTTAAATAGTTGCTCTAGGATTTGAATAGTAAACCTATATATTTTCTTTGTTCAACAACCATAAAAACAGTTTCAATTAGACGTTGCTTGGTTTTAATGATTACTTCAGAGTTAATTAAACTCATCCAACTATTTGACCAACCAGTGGCAGAACTATTCAGAGACCCCAGCAAGGGACAAACTCTAACGACCTCCTGAAAACTCAAAAGGTGGCGCTTGTCATATTGTTGAAAATGTTATTGGAATTTGGAATTTTCTATTCTACTCATGAACAGGGTAAATATACTAGGGCAGCTCCTGTTCTCCAAAACCCAGATGTTGTTTTTATTTTCCTTTTAAATGATTGTGATGTTTCATCTTGCGCAGCCAAGCCTAGCAATAAATAGCTTTACTGGAAAAAAATTTAGGGCTTCAAGAAATTGCAGCTGTTATATAATTCATGAATGATTAAATATATATTCCCAATGGAGATTCAAATCTCAGCTTCCAATTTTATTAATAAAATTGTGAATACAATAACTTAACAAATCCTCCTTGAGTTTAGTGACTTCCAACTATCCATAGAGAATCTGTTTGTTGTCATATCATTAAAAATGATCATATTTTTGCATGAGAGCAAGGCTGTCCTTTTATATAGTAATTGATTTCACCAAATTGGTCAGGTGAGAGAGAGAAAATGATTTTGTAATAATATGTAAGAATGTGATTAATATTAAGAAAAGGGGACCATGTAAACTTTGCCTAAATTTTGGGGTTTTGGTGGCAGAGACGCGGAGAAAAAGCATCAAAAGACGACAAAATGGGCACCCAGGCCATAAACATAGAAACCTAAAATATCATAGTAATCTTCGAGATCAAAATCATCATGTTTATGATGGACATCGATGGTAGTTTAGGTGAGTTAAAAATGTTGAACCCGTTACACCCAAATACAAGTAATTAAAACAACTATGCATGGTTATATATAAATACTAATATGTAATTAAATAATACATATTTGAAAAAGAAAACTTAAGTAAAGTTACTTTAAGAGTTATTAATATTATTTTTATTTAAAATTAAAGTTTAATCTCAATTATCAGCATCAATTTTTAATATTAATCTTTATTATTTAGATTATTAAGATAAAAATTTTATTTTTAAGTTTAAAACGCAATACCTAAAACGATATTAAACCCAATTTATACATATTACTCATGACTTGTTTGTATATAAATTTTTAGCGCTCTACATTTTATTGACATAAAACTGCAATGTACTATTGTTTCATATTCACTTATCTCAATTACACAATTCATTTTCTCAAACCCGCTGGACACTTCTTAAATTAAGTAAATAAATAAAGATGTATTTTTCTTTTTTTAAAGTAATTTTTCCTTACTATTGAATATGTGAATTAATTGGTAGAGTTATTTTATCTTATAATTTTAAATTCAAGTTTTAATAAATTTGATTGTATTAAATATTAAGAAAAAGTGTTGTACTGCTGCATTGTACCCGCTTAAAAAAGGATTATCTCTACAAGAGAATACACATATGATATAAACCAAGAAGTAATTTTACCTTAGCAAGATTTAAGTGTAAATTCTATCTTATTTGCTTATTTTACAAACATTTTTATTTTATATATTTTTTATTTCATTTAATATTTCTCAATCATTTTTCATGCTAATAACTTTGCCTTATTGTGTATAATTAATTTATACCCACGGATTCCTTTAATACATTCGTAGAAAGTTTATCAGACCCAAATAACAAAAAAGTGTCATCATGCATTAAATATACTACTAGTATATATCTTTATGCTAATAAAATTATTTATTGGAGTTATATATCACTCATATTATTAATATAAACTCGTAATATTTGTTAACAATTAATTTAATTTTCATTATAAAAACTGTACTAATGATTTATTGTTTTTATATTGAACTGAATTTAATTCATATGCAGCTTTTCTAAAGATGTGGTTAAGATTCTTTCATTTAGCTCCAACACGATAGGTTTATCAAACTTTGTTTATTGATTAAAAATAAAAGAAGATCTAATAACTGTTTATTATTTATAATCATTAACTGGGATCTGTTGATTGACAAAAGCACAGCCGCTCAATTATAGTAATTCGAAAACACAATTATTATTCTACGTGGATCATTTCCAGAAATTTTAAAAGTTAAAGATAATTAATAATAGTAGAATCTTATTAATTAAAAAGAGAAATATTTATTATATTTTTATAAATTTAATATAATAAATATATTTTCTTATAAAAAAATTCTAGTATGTGCTTAAACTCAGCTTAACGCTGAAGTAAACAAAATCTTTTTTCATAAATAATGCTCTAAAAATATATTTAAGTTTGATTAAAAATTAATAATTTTTATATATCTTAAAAAGAAAACTTTAGATATTTTTCAATAAAAAAACATCTTTTAATGCGATGTAAGATAAACATAGTAATTTTTATTTTTTTTTGTTTTTTCAATAGATGGGTGAGTAGAATAAAGAGTGGGATTGCTAATCCGTGGTAATTTATATAAAAAAGAAAAATAATAATATCTAATTTTCGATGTTAATTTTGAATAATTGAAATAAGATAACTAGGGTGACATAACGTGGTAAAAGAATGCCTGTCTGAGTCCCATGAACTAGCACAGTCAAAAAGCACAGATTTTAGCGATCTCTAATTTGATGCGTTGTTATTACCACCGAAGGCACGAACTCACAAACTCAGCGTCAGCGACACAAGCTGCTATAGGTAATAGAATGTCTGGAGATTCTGACCAATTCGCAGCTTGTTACGCGCTAAACGCGTGTTAGTTGAGGATTTACCAAAAATATATTATTAAAATTGTTTTTTAACAATTATATCAAAAATATTAATCTCAATTTTAGGATTAAATTTAAATACTTAATAATCATTTTTTATTTAAATGAAATTTTATTATACTTATATACTTTAATTCAAATTTGTAGGATTTTCAGTATCAGATAAATTTCTGAATTTCTTCAAATAAATATTCACATTGAAATAATTAATAATTTTCACATAAAATTTACCTGATAATTAGTAAAGATAATTTGTTAAAAGTATAAAAATTTGATATTAAATATCTTTATTTATACTGTAATGCATGTCATTTTTATTTTATGATTTTATTAGTGTTTTAAAATAAAATTTGACTGATTATTTTTATAAAAGGTAATAATTTTTTTAAAAATAAAATTTAGAAATAAATTAGTATTATATTTAATTAAATTATTCTTTTACTTTATTAATATTTTTACAACTTCATAAAAATTTAAAAATGATAAAAATTAGGATTTTTAATTTTATAAATAAGAAATCAAACTAATTGAAATAATAATATTTAAATAAAAAGCATAATAAATGTAAAAAAAAAAATTAAAATTGATTTTTCTCTCAACAGCTTTAGTTGCATTTCCTTTGCAGTTCTTCCAAAATACTAAATCACCTAATAAAAATAAAATGACAGAAATGTTAAAGGACTCTTTCATCAATATACATAATGCTATTTCAAAGATTACAAAACTTAAAAGATCATCAGAACGAAATATTTAATGATACAACCTAAAAAAGTAAATATTAACTAATTTTAGTTTACAATTTTAACTTTTTATTTTAATTTTTCATACTTAATTCTTATAATTTTGTAATTATTCAATACAATAAATTTTATCTAATAATGAACAAAACTATAACAAAGGTATGATATATAAAATGTAAAATATTTAAATAATTTTTTT